TGGGCCTCAAGGCTATTCTACAGGCACGGAAATCGTGGGCTATCATCATATTGCCAAAAATATTACATTTGATTTGAACCACCATTCCACATCAATCCAGCTATTTTTTTTTAAAGTATTTTAAGGGTGAAAAAGACATGCTAAATAACACAACGAGAAGCTGAGGAAGTTTTCAACATTGCCTATACATGAGGATTTTTTTAATTTAAGTAGTTATACAAAGGGGTTACAATTCCATAAGTTAGGTTATAAATATAATGCTTCTTGGTCAATGTCACCCCTTCTTTTATTCTCCCATTTCCTCCACTCCAGTCACAACATTCAAGTTACATAGTTCATTTTTTTTTACATAGTTCATTTTTTACATAATGAATTAATGTTGTTTTTGTGTGTGTGTATGTGTGTTTTAGTGTGTGTGTACCAGTACTGGACTCGAACTTAGAGCTGCATACTCTCAATTGTTGTTTTTTTTCCTCCAAACCACACTGGAGCTCTACCACTTGAGCTATACCTCCAGTTCAGCTTTTTGCTAGTTAAGTGAGAATGGAGTCTGGGAGGTCTTTCTGCCCAGGCTGGCTTCAAACTTTGATCCTCTGGGTCTCAGCACCTTGAGTAGCTAGAATTTATAGCCACAAGCTACCTGCACCCAGCTAAGGAATTTATTTTTAAAAAATATGATAATGGGCCTGGTGTGGGTGGCTTACTAACTGCTCAGGAGGCTGAGATCATAGGACTGTTGTTGGAAGCCAGCCTGAGAAGGAGAGTCCATAAGACTCTTGTCTTCATTTAAACATCAAAAAGCCAGAAGTGTAACTGTGGTTCAAGTGGCAGAACCCTAGCTTTAAGCAAAAAAAAAAATCTCAGGACAGCATTCAGGCCCTGAGTTCAAACCCTAGGACAGGAACACACACATAAAAAAGTATGACAATAGGAATTGGTGGTGTGGTAGAACTCAAGTGGTAGAACACCAGCTGTAAGCAAAAAAGTTGAGTAAGAGGCCCTGAGTTCAAGCCCCAGTACCAATTATTATGTAGTCATTATACTCAATGTATACTATGTAAAAAGTGAACTATGTAGCTTGATGTGAGGAAGAAATTGGGGGAGAATGAAAGAAGGGGTGATACTGACCAAGAAGCACTGTACTTATAACCTGAATTATGGAACTGTAACCCCTTTGTACAACTACATCATCATCATCAAGCTATAGGTATGGCTCAATTGGTAAGAGTGTCAGCCAGAAGCAGACAAGCCAAGCAAACACAATTTCACACTTTCTATCACAAATTAGACTCAGGTTCCAACACATTTTAGAGACCCTCTGAATGCTTTCCACCTACGAACACTGTGCTGTCGGCCACCTAGATGTCTGTTAGCATACCTTGCAGGCCTGGGATACCATGCTGCTGCAGCCACTCATGCAAGGTGCATGAGGCACTCCAATGGCTGGGTGTGGGGCAGCACTCTCCCACCACCAGTCCTGCCACATGGATCCCCGAGGATTCAAACCACTAGAGAGAAGGAAGAGATTGTGAGAAGCCCAAGGCCAACTATCTCCCCAAGGCCTTTCCCCATTGTCTGGCCATGGACTCTCTGCTCAGCCACAATGAATACACCAAACACTATGTACTTCTGCAGGTGTGCCCTGTCCAGGCCTGAATGATAACTGGAAACAATCATTTCTTTTCCTTTCCTTAATCCAAAATTGACATCAGGAATCCCCTTTTCTGCCTTCTCAGAAAAGAGGATCTCTTTGTGTCTCTTTCTAAGAGCTCATCTACATCTCATTTCCACCTCTGTTTACATTTTATTATGAATATGTATTTGTACCTGTCACAAAACTGAAATCCTCAAGAGAAAAGTCACTGGTACATAGTGTCAGTGAACATTTACTGAGTGTTCTTAGGCACAAGCACTGTAATATATGTTGGAAAAAAGGCACTGAGCAAGAATAGATAAGGCCCCTGTCTCCACAATGTTAGTTTCTAACTTAGGAAGCCAGAAATGAAAAAGATAATAAACAAGATGTTAATTACTCCATGTGAAAAAACAGTAAGAAAGAAAGGGTGCCTAACATGACTCAAAAACAGTTTTGGAATACAGTACTAGATGGTGATTGCATTATTTTCCTGCTTTCTTTGGGACTGTAATTTTTAAGTGTGTAATATCTAAAGATCTCATGAGTTAGCCCAGGAAAGACAAAGCTGAAATTCTTTCTCTCCAATGAACCAGCAAAAAGCTGGAAGTGGAGTCATGACTCAAGTGATAAAGCACCAGCGATGAGTGAAGAAGTCCAGTGAAAGTAGAAACCCTGAGTTCAAGACCCAGGACTGACCAAAATAAACAAAAAAGATAACAAACTTATTACCCAATAGTCAAACATTGAATAATTAAGCAGGAAATTTATGGTGATACAATTAATATATTTAAATTACATTAAAAGCTTGGGCATACCAGAAATTGGTGACTCATATCTATAAATCCTAGCAACTCAGGAAGCTGAGATCTGAAGACCATGGTTGCAGCCAGCCCACGCAGAAAGACTGTGAGACTGTTATCTTCAATAAACTACTAAAAAAAGCTGGAAGTAGCACTGTGGTTCAAGTGATAGAGTGCTAGCCTTGAGCAAAAGAAGCTTAGGGACAGGCCCTGAGTTCAAGCCCCAGGACCAGTTTAAAAAAAAAAAAAGAAAAAGAGCCCAGACATGGCAGTTCATGTATGTAACCCCAGCACTAAAGCTGAGGCAGGACATACTGGTACTTGAGGCTAGCCTGGCTGCATAGACTTGGCACAAGGAAAAAAAAAGTTACATTCAGTTCAATGGTCAAGATGAATATTGAGACTGCTCTAAAAGAATCTGAAGGAGTTTGTCAGAACCTCCTCAGGGCAGGTGAAGTAATTCACAAGTGCATGTACAGCAAATGGGCTACAGAACCACCAATGTTGGACTAGTGGCTCCGTACGAAGCCTCACTTAGTCTGCTCCTACGAGGGTCTTAATTTAGCAATTTTACAAAGTAAATTCTGTCAGTGACATCAGCTGACAAAGCTGAGAACTGATACGTTAACCCAACTCACCAGATAACTGAATTATAAAGCAGAATGCTGAAAAGTTGGTGATAAAGGTGCTTTCCAGGAAAAATAGATTAGTATGTCCTTTATCCAGAATTCCCTTTCCCCAATGTCAGAGTGACTGGGATGACAAAAGAATAATAATAGACTTAAAGCTGAATACCAATGACTCATGCCTGTAATCCTAACTGCTCAGGAAGCTGAGATCTAAGGATCCAGGCAGATCAAAGCCAGCCCAAGCAGGTACTGTATAAAAAACCAATTTACCAGCAAAAAGCCAGAAGTAAAGGTGTGGCTCATGCAATAGAACTCCAGCCTTGAGTTTAAGTTGCAGCAGCAGCCCCGCCCTGCCCACCCTCTTCCCCCCCCACACACACACACAAAATAAAGACAGAAAAAAATTACAGGCTTGTTCAGGATACCAGAACAAAGCAATTTTTTGAAAAACACTGAAACTGGGCTATGGTCATGTCTATTATTAACTACTATGTTTGGGCTTTTTTTACTTCAACTCTCACAGGACAACTTAGCTTCCAAATTCCGCAGAAAGATGGAGAAACTCACTGCAGGAGGAAACTGAGTTTTCTAACCTAGAGGGAAAACTACCACTAAAGAGCAGGAAATGAGATAAGGCAGTGTAAAAAAATCTAGAAGACCACAACCAATGTCATTGGTTATAAGTAAATTGGCACCTGTCAACCAGAAGAATGTGACCCTCCTTTCCAGCCACCTTCTCACTAATTTATGTAACCCTGAAATATTGCTTTGCTCTAATGACACAGATGCTACCAAACCTTCACTAGATCCTTAATAAATAAAGCCCAGACTCTGGTTTGGCTTCAAGGCCCTCCAAGCCCACCGCAGGTTCTGAATCACTTTGGACCACGGTTCCCTCAAATTTGTTTTGCCCTTTCTTTGCTCCATGCCTTCTCCATGAGGGTACTCCACTGTGGCCTCGGCACTGGGCTTCTCAAGGTACTAAGGGACTCCAAACTACAGTCGTCTGAGTCAGTGAGTACCTAACGCTCTCTCCAGGATGCCTAGCGGGGTGTCAGAGTCGTCACTACACTTAACGCTTAGCTGCTGATTTGAAAAGGAATGTAGAGAAAGCACTGGGTGTGGCTACCTTGCTGAGCCCGAATTCGTCCACTTCATCAGGGGGGATGCCGTAGTTACCGATCAGCGGATATGTCAGCACTAAGATCTGTGCTTTGTAGGAAGGGTCAGTGAGGGCCTCGGGGTAGCCGACCATGCCGGTCTGGAACACTGTAGAAGGAGGCAGGGCTGGGCTGGGCTGGGGCAAGGGCACTCAGAACCCTGCCGAGTACACCCCAGGCGCCTGCCTGTGTGCGGGATCAAAGGCGCTGAGGCCGGGGCGACCGCGCACGGGGAGATGGGCTGTGCAAGCGGGGTCTGGGCAGGGGAGGGTGGGTGGAGAGGGGTCTTAAAAGTGCGATGAGGTGGGCAGCCCGCCCGGGCTCGCTTACCCACTTCCCCAGAAGCCGACACAGCGGCCCCGAAGGGCCGGCCCCGCAGCACCGACCCGTCCTCCAACACCAGCGCGGCCATGGGGACGGAGCTGAGGCTGGGGCGAGCACCGAGATGCGGAAGGCGCGGCGAGCCCCGCTGGAACCAGTCGAGTACGGCGCGCCGGAGTCGGTCCACGTGGCTGGCGGCGCCGGGCGCTGGAGAGGAGGCGGGCTCAGCAGCCTATAGTCCCGAGCGCGCTCCACGACCGCGCGACTGCGGCGGCGCGGGGAGCCGGCAACGTGAGGGGCGGGGCCTGGCGCGTAAGGGGCGTGGTTACGGGCGGGAGCCTGCGTCTCCTCCGCTGGTCAAAACCTGGGAGACCTGAAAAACCCGACCGCCCCAAAGGAGCCCCGCAAGCGAGAAATGTGCAAAAGCCTTTCCCTAAAAAAGGAAACAAGGAAGGAAAAAGAAGAAAAAAGTTTATTGTAGTCAGTAACACAATGGGACCTAGTACTAGTCCAGTCCTGACCCAGGGTCCAAAACACTCTACTAGGGTGCAATAAAGTACAGAACCCTTCCGTGGGCGGCCCCAGCCTTGAGAAGGATTCCTCCGCCTGGCCAGTGAAGCCTGTCAAGGAAGCAATTCTCAGTGGCTGCCCTATGGAGTTTCAGGTTGATTTCGGGTAATAGGACGTCCTATGTGGTTCATGAAGTCTTGGCTTTTCGGCGCTGGGTTCCCCAAAGCAGAATGGAGATGGATAATGTAGTGGATCCCAGAATCCCGAAGAACATAAGAAGTGAGAAAGAGCCCTGTGATTAACAGAAGAGAAAACGTCAGCATTACACAGAGGGGTGCATCTTGAACGCCTAATTCTTTCCTAGGCATATGTCCCCATCTTGGGCAATTCACAGTTGTTTCCTCCTCCTCTATGTAACTAGCATCTTCAGCTCCTGGTCTTGTGGTCTTTTTCATTGTTGTTGTCTGTCATGGGGCTTGAACTCTGGGCTTAGGCGCTGTTCCTGAGCTCTTCAGCACAAGGTGAGCAGTCTACCACTTAAGCCACAGTGACATTTCCGGCTTTCTGGTGGTTAATTGGACTCAGCCTCCCGAGTTGCTAGGATTACAGCCACTAGAGCCAGGCTGTGGCTGTCTTTGAGAGGCTCTTTCTTGCCTATGCTTCCTCTTAACCCTGATGAGATCTAACTCCTCACCTGCCGCATACACTTGTATCCATGGAAGCCATCTTCACAAACACACTGCAAAAGACCAGGACCAGCAGGAGCACAAGATCCATTTTCAGGACACATTTCTGGGAGCCAGAGAAAAACAGAGAATATCATTAAAATTCAGTAAGTTTATTTCTTAAATATCTGCTTCAATTGAATTCTCTCAACCAACCTAACTTGTAATCCTAGCTACTCAAGAGTCTGAGATCTGAGATTTGAAGCCAGCCCAGCCGGAAAGGGTTTTTTTTTGTTTGTTTTTGTTGGTCGTGGGGCTTGAACTCTGGGACTGAGCGCTGTCTCTCAGCTCTTCAGCTCAAGGCTAGTGCTCTACCACTTGAGCTACAACGTCACTTCCGGTTTTCCGGACTTTCCTGCCCAGGCTGGCTTTGAACCGCATTCCTCAGATCTCAGCCTCCTGAGTAGCTAGGATTACAGGAGTGAGCCACCGGCACCCAGCCGGAAAGTTTGAAAGCCTCTTATCTCCAACTAACCACCAAAAAGCTGGAAGTGGAGCTGCGGCTCAAGTTAATATCACATCATAGGGCTGGGAAGGTGGCTCAGTGGTAGAGTGCTTGCCTTGCATGCATGAGGCCCTGGGTTTGATTCCTCAGCACCACATAACCAAAAAGAAAAAAGCCGGAAGTAGGGCTGTGGCTCAAGTGGTAGAGCGCTAGCCTTGAGCTGAAGAGCTGAGGGACAGCACCCAGGCCAGAGTTCAGGCCCCACGACCGGACCCAAAAACACAAACAAACAAAAAGTTAATGTAACATCAATATTGAGCAAAAAAGCTCAGTGCTCAAGCCCTGAGTTCAAGCCCCAGAACCAGCACAAACAAAAAAATTTCAATCATTTCTAGGTTAAAAAAATTTACAATCAGAACATAACAATAATAAATTTTATCACTTTTTTTCCCTAAGGAAGTAGAGCCTAGGAAATCCGAACAAAAGGGACTTAAAGATCTTTATCTTTCTGATCTAAAGTACAGAATATAAGGGAGGAAAGGAAGTTCCTAGAAAGGTGGAGGAAAGACAGTATAAGTATACCTGGATTCCCAGTGCTATTGCAAAGATCCTTTTGCCCTTGGCAGACTTGGCTGTCTACATAGGAGGTAATGTGTACCCAGGCATTAATACCTCCAGGACAGATGACATCTTGAGGCAGTACCCTGAAGACAACACAGGTGGTCATAACATATAGTCCAAGGGGCTAGGCCTGGTTTCAATCCCCACATACAAGCTTGCAGCCCAGAGTTACTGAGCTCAGCAATGACCCTTTTTGATTCTTTTTTCCCCACCCTATTACTTACAGAGTCTGCAGCTGGGTAAAGCCATGGAAGGTATTGGTCAAGTTATCCTTGAGGGGATTTGCTTGCAAGTCTCTGCAAAACAGTTAGCACTCTGCACAGGAAAGCCCTCCATGTACATTTGTACATTCACATACCTGCCTGGACCCAATCCTTATCTCAAGCGGTCTGAGTTTAGATATTAATATTTGTCCACCTTTTCAAGAGTCTATTCCCAGGTTCATGCCTATAATCCTAGCTACTCAGGAGGCTGAGATATGAAAATTGAGGTTTGAAGCCAGCCTGAGAAGAAAAGCCTATGAGACTTATCATCAATTAACTACTGGGGAAAAAAAAAAGCCAGTGGAGCTGTGGCTCAAGTGGTAGAATGATCGCCTTAAGCACAAAAGCTCAGGGATGGTGCCCAGGCTCTGAGTTCAAGCCCCAGGATGGATGTGTGCATGTGCACGCGCACACACACACACACACACACACACACAGCCTCTCCTCCAAAGATTTTCTCATCAATACTTAATTAACCATATTCACCTTTTAGTCTGGAGGGTACTTAACTACTTACATGATAACAGCAGTACGTGCTTGAGGAAAGTTTGGACCAGGATTCTTCAGAGAACAGTTCTGGAGATCTAGTCTGAGAAAATAATTAATGTAAGTACAAGTCTCATTTTCGTTTTTTTTTGTTTGTTTGTTTTTGTCGGCCTTGGGGCTTGAACGCTGTCCTTGTGTTCTTCAGCTCAAGGCGAGTGCTCTACCACTTAAGCCATAGCACCACTTCCGGATTTCTAGCGGTTTATTGGGGATAAGAGTCTCACGAACTTTCCTGCCCTGGCTGGCTTTGAACCGCGATCCTCAGATCTCAGCCTCAAGAGTAGCTAGGATTACAGGCGTGAGCCACCGGCGCCCAGCTACGGGTCTCATTTTCATCCAAGGCAAGGTTTGTACTTGATCAGGCAATTCCCTTCAGATAATATTAACTAAACATAACTGTGTTCACAACCATAAATGTGGTGCTGTGGTAGACATTGTAATCAGGCACTATCCATTATAGCCAATACTAGCTACATGTAGCTACTTGAACTTAATGTAACCTAACAATCCAGTGCTTCATTTGCACTAGTTACATTTCAAGCGCATATGAAATACTGTAACAATGTTAGTGGCTACTGTGTTCCTTCATCACAGAAAGTGATGGACCACAGTGTTCTAATCCGTGCACCTATGTACTATGCATATATTGGAAGACATTTTACCTCTTGCCTAAATTAGTGATTTACATATTATGATTCTTAGATCCACAGAGGAGATTTAAATGAAAGTGCAAGTTATATGAGGTTTTTATAAGTGTATTTTCTGTCAGACTGTAAACTTCTGTACATCAAGGACCACAACACATTATTTTTTTCTCCAGTATCTATTGCCTTCCATTTACTTACAAATACTTTGAGTGCCTACAAACTACAAACATATGAAAAGTATACAATATACACATATAATTCAGTAGCTCAGTCTTTACAAGGTTTTGTAGTAGTAGAATGCCTTGAGACTGTCACCATGGGGCTGGAAAGGTGGCTCAGTGATAGAGTGCTTGCCTCGCATGCATGAGGCCCTGGGTTCGATTCCTCAACACCACATAAACAGAAAAGGCCAGAAGTGGTATGCTCAAGTGGTAGAGAACTAGCCTTGAGCTGAAAAGCTCAGGGACAGCACCCAGGTATAGAGTTCAAGCCCCACGACTGACAAAAAAAAAAAGGTGTTGGACCATGCAGGGAAGTCTGTGAGACTTTTTATCTCCAATAAATTCACACAATGGACTCAGGGATAGTGTCCATGACTGACAAAATGAATGAATTAATTAATTAAAAATAAATAAATGAGGGCTGGGAAGGTAGCTCAGTGGTAGAGCGCTTGCCTTGCATGCATGAGGTTCTGGGTTCGATTCCTCAGCACCACATAAGCCGAAAAAATTTTTAAAAAAAGCCCGAAATGGCGCTGTGGCTCAAGTGGTAGAGTGCTAGCCTTGAGCTAAAGAGCTAAGGGACAATGCCCAGGCCCAGAGTTCAGGCCCCACAACCAGATCCAAAAAAATAAATAAATGAGCTGAGAAGGTAGCTTAATGATAGAGTGCTGCCCTAGCATGCATGAAACCCTAGCTTTGATTCCTCAGTACCACATACACAAAAAAAGCTGGAAGTGGCGCTGTGGCTCAAGTGGTAGAGTGCTAGCCTTGAGCAAAAGAAGCTCAGGGATAGCACCCAGGCTCTGAGTTCAAGCCCCAGAATTGGCCATCAATCAATCAATTAATCAATAAGCGGTGCAGAAAAAGGGGAGTAGAAATAGTCCCAGTAGTTCATCTGTCGTCGTAATGTTAAAGCAAGAGCATCATACTGAAAAAAAAAAAGATTTAGTTTACAGAAAGTTTAATATAGAGAAGTATTTAGGTAGATTAGGGAAGGAGAATGAAAGCAAGACATGACATTTTGAGTTTGAAGCAAGGATACATCCTAGAAGAAATGTTTTATAGGTAACTAGAGGTCCTACATATACCTAAAGCTTGGAAAAGTTAAAGCCCAAACAGACTTAATTTTGAGAGACACCTGCATGATGCATACAGATGAAGCCATTAAAAATATTCTTGTGGGAAGCTGGGCTCAGGTGGCTCATGCCTGTAATCCTAACTACTCAGGAGACTGAGATCTGAGGATCCCAGTTCAAAGCTATCCGGGGCAGGAAAGTCCGTGAAATTCTTATCTCCAATAAACTACCAGAAAACTGGAAGTGGCACTGTGGCTCAAGTGGTAGAACACTCTCCTTCAGCTGAAAAACTGAGGGACAGTGCCCAGGCCCAGAAATCAAGCCCCATGACCAACCCCCCCCCCAAAATGTATATTCTTGTGAGGGCACTAGTAGCTCATGCCTGTAATACTAACTACTAAGAAAGCTGAGATCTGCAGATAGAGGTTTGAAAGTAGTTTAAGCAGAAAACTCTGACTCTCCAAAATAGTCTGCAAAAAGATGGGCTGGAGGAGTGGCTCAAATGGAAGAGCACCAGCCTGACAAATATTTGGCCCTGAGTTCAAATTCCACTAATGCCAAATAAATGAGGAAAAAAGCCGCATCGTTCCAGGAGAACCACAGGATTGTTTACTTAGCAAAAAATGCTGGGGCTGGGAAGGTGGTTCAGTGGTAGAGTGCTTGCCTTGTATGCATGAGGCCCTGGGTTCGATTCCTCAGTACCACATAAGCAGAAAAAGCCGGAAGTGACGCCGTGGCTCAAGTGGTAGAGCAGTAGCCTTGATCTAAAGAACTGAGGACAACGCCCAGGCCCAGAGTTCAGGCCCGGATCCCCCCCAAAAAAAAATTCTGTAAAACTTAAAAGTTTGAGAACACTTTAGATGCATCTACTTAGGCACCGATCTGGTAAGGCTTATAGACTTAAGAATACTTTTTCCAATGTTCAAGGATGTCTTCTCCTCCCTCACCCCAAGATGGCGCCCTTCTGATTCAGGCAGCAGCGGGCATGCAGCATTAGTTCTGATGTCTGCTTACAATAAACAGCCACTTGTGAAAAATTTTGCACACTTCCCGGACACTGAGTGCATATCTGCAGGAGAGAGAGAAAAAGAAACAATCTTATTAGGACTGTAGGAAATAAAGCCAAGATAAGATCAAAAGCTAACTGCCAGTAAACCTAGCTATTGGGGTATTGCCAGTTGGGCAAGAAGTTAGTCGGACTCTCCGCTCAATTAATAAGCTAGCCATATTCCAGATGCATGGGTAGGAGGATTGCTGTTTGTGTCCTGATGAGACAAAAACATGGGAGGAGTGTCTACTAAGCGGGAGAGATTCTGAGTTCAAAATTCTAGCGATCACCCGCCCTCCCACCCCTAAAACTAACTGTCTGTATCCTCTCCAGAGGTGGCTTTTACAAGGCTGGAGTAGAAGATGCCATTTCTTCTCCTAAAGCTGGGTGTCTATCAGTAAAGTGCCAGACTTTCGGTACCAGTCCTCACTCAGGGAGGGCCTTCGTCTTTGAGAATTATCAACTAAACATAGGATAGCCTCTTCAGAGACCTCTCCGACACACCGGTTTGGTGGGAGGAGTACAGGTACACAAAGAACTCGCCATCCAGTATCACAGAATGTAGTGGAAGCACCCACTACGTACGCGGGAGGAAGCGGCCTGCAAACGTCTAGGGGACTCCTCCAGGGGAAGAACAAATTAGTTATTCCAAGACTGAGGAGCGAGGAGATCAAATTTCAAATGACTTCGATGCAGGGAGGGCGAGGACGGCCGGGGCCTGGGAAACTGAGCGCTAGGGGCAGGATCCGGCCGGGTACGGCAGAGACCAGAGACCAAATCTGGGCTTGTGCTGACAGGCTGAATGGGGACAGCCACCGGCGAGCGCGACCAGCAATCCTGCTTGGGCCCGACCTCAGACTTGCTTCTGTACCTCGGGGAGCGCCAGAGCCCTTTCCACGCCCAGAGCCAGGAGTAGGGCCGTAGCCCAAGGCCACAGGGCGCCAGGACTGCCGTGCACGGGAGACGCCATTTCCCGTTCCCTTCGACCTTCTAGACAGCTCGCGAGAGCAGCGCTAAGCCACGCCCCTTCGTGGCACGCCTGCGCGTAGAGGCGTGGCCTAGTCCGCCTGGCGCAGCTCCCTGGGCGTGGCTTAGCCGGTCCCCGTCGTCCGGCTCGCACTGCGGGACGCTGGCGCTGTGGGAAGTCCGCGCTCATGTCTGCGCGTTCCAGTTCTCTTTCGAAATGAACAGAGCCACCTCTTCTTCATTCCTCTCTTTACCTCACTTCTCTCCTGCCGCCGCCCAGCTCCTCTGAGCGGCCTGGAGGCGCCCTCAGCCCCGCATTCAATGCCCCCCGGGACGCCCCGATTGCGCTTCGGCCGTGGCCCGGACCGCTCCATCCGCCCTCAGTAAACATGGCGGCGCAGCGTCTGGGGCGGGCGAGGGGCGGGGCGCTGTCACCCGACCGGGAGCGCTGCCTGCTTGCTACCCACGAGTGGAGACCAGGCAGGTGGGCCGGGGGTGGGGGCAGAAGCGGAGAGGCTCCGCTGATTCGTGTCGGCACTGGGGAGGAGCGCGGGCCGGGGCGGGGCAGGGCGAGCTGCCCGCAGCGTGGACCGGGAAGGTCTGCCGAGAGCGCAAGGTGATGAGCTCGCGTCTGGCGGAGGGACGGGAAAAACTGGAAAGAAGAGGGTCAGGGCGCTGAAGGAGGGAAGGGCGAAGGGCACATTCCGACCCGAGGACTCGACCCCGGGAACGCCCCGGGTTACCAGGTCCTCTTCACCTTAGTCCCGAGACTGTTCATCTCCGAGCCTAGCGTGGAGGTAGGAGCGGAATCGACGGTTCCCTAACTTCTTTCCTTTGCCTAAGCAGAAAAAGGGAGCGATGCTGATCTTGGGAAGAAAGAAGGGATTCGCCTAGCCCCGACGGAACGACAGAGGTAAGGCAAGGCAGTGCTACCCCAGAGTGGCCCAGAGCCTGACTGAAAGGCGCGCGGGGGAGAAGGTGGGAGAACTGTTGTCTTTGGTTAGCCGCCCTCCCTGTCCTCTCCCCCCCCCGCCCCCGCACCCCAAGTTCAACCATCCTAGTCCGAGCACCTGGCCCGGACTTCTCTTCTACGTGTTCCTAGACCTCTGCCTGGAAATTCTGAATTTACACTTTCGTTTAGGTTCCTGGCTGTCAAGTCTTGTTTTAATAAAAGTCTCCAAGCCTTCCAGATTCTGAGCAATTTTGGTTACAAGGTAAATTATTTTTGTTTTCCCAGCTTGCTCAGTTAGCCTGGCGTTCTGCTGTTGAGTCACACCTCCAGCCTAGCATTTTGCTGGTTATTAAGAGTTGGAGTCTTCTGGCCTTTTCTGCCCCTGCTAGCCTTACACTATAGTCCTACACACCTTAGCCTCTTGAGTATTTAGGATTACAAGTTTAACATACTAGTGTCTGGCTACAAGATTGGTTTTGAGGGAACCTTTTAGTGACTTAGAGTGGCCTCTTACAGTTGAAAGTATAGCTCATTGGTAGAGTGCAGATCTAGCTGGGTACAGAACTCAGCACTGGGCTGAGAATGTGACAATGGTAGAGTGCTTGCCTAATATGCATGAAGCCCTGGGTTCTATTCCTCAGTGCCACATAAACAGAAAAAAAACAGGAGTGGTGCTGTGGCTCAAATAGAGTGCTAACCTTGATCAATAGAAGCTCATGGACAATGCCCAGGCCCTGAGTTCAAGCCCCAGTACTGGCAAAATAAATAATAAATACTCAGCACTGCAAAAACCTTTACAGAGGGCTGAGAGGGTGGCATAATGGTATAGTGTTCATCTAGCATGCACGAAGCCGTGGGTTTGATTACTTAGTATCACATACATAGAAAAAGCCAGGAGTGGCGTTGTGGCTCAAGTGGTAGAGTGCTAGCCTTGAGCAAAAGCAGCTCGGACAGAATCCAGGCCCTGAGTACAAGCCCCAGGACTGGCAAAAAAAAAAAAAAAAAAAGCAAGATCTGGTAGAGGGAGGAAAGAAGAGGTGAATGAAGGATGATGGCAACTCATGGTCATACCGTGAATAAGCTTGATTTTTAAAAAACCTACAGAAAATAATAGCTTTTATAGAGTTTAATCCAATGCGGTGGGTAACTGTGGGACCACTTTTTTTTTTTTTTTTTTGTCAGTCATGGTGCTTGAATTCTGGGCCTGGACGCTGTCCCTGAGCTCTTCATCTCAAGGCTAGAGCTCTGCCACTTGGGCCACAGACCCACTTCTGGTTTTATGGTTGTTAATTGGAGATAAGAGTCTCACAGACTTTGCTGCCCAGGCTGGCTTTGAACCTCAGTCCTCAGATCTCAGCCTCCTGAGTAGCTAGGATTACAGGAATGAGCCACCAGCACCCAGCGGGACCACTTTTTTAAAGGGGATATTCCACCAGCCCATTTGTGCCTTGCTATATTACAGTTTTAATGAAGCAACTGAGCCCTTCCTTTTAGCTCCTACTCCATCAGATTTGAATCATTGTAGACTTTTTAGAAAGCTACTGTTCTATTCCTAGAATTTATTCTTGTCAATTGAAGTCTTTGTTACTGGGTTGAGTTTTTCCTGTCTTGCTTGGCTCTCTAGCTATGTGGCAGAGTTTTATGCATCTCATACAAATAAAATTTAGTTAGGAAACCTCATCACTAGAGGAACCCAGTACTGGACTTTTCTTCTACCACATGCCTATCTATACCACTAAACCTTTATTGCTGTATACTTTTTGCATACAAAAAAAATTTTTTTTCCTCCCTTTATCCTTCCCCACTGTACTTTTGTGTTTGATATTGAACTTAGGGCCTTGCACCTGCTAGGTAAGCACTCTACTTTTTGAAACAGGGTCTTGCTATGTATTGCAGGTTTGTCTTGGACTCACCATCTACCTGCTTCTGCTTTCTTTTTTTTTTGGGTCCGGTCGTGGGGCCTGAACTCTGGGCCTGGGCGCTGTCCCTCAGCTCTTCAGCTCAAGGCTAGCGCTCTGTACCACTTGAGCCACAGCACCACTTCTGGATTTTTTTTTTGCTTATGTGGTGCTGAGGAATTGAACCCAGGGCCTCAGGCATGCAAGGCAAGCACTCTACCACTGAGCTACCTTCCCAGCCCTGCTTCTGCTTTCTGAATGCTGGAATTAAAAGTATGTGCCACCACATCCAGAGGCAATCTTTTGTATTTCCAGCAGTTCCCATTTCTATTGTAACATTCAAAACTCAAGAGGAGTGAGAAAACTCTGTATGTAGCAATATACAAAGACCAATGCTATTTTTATGTTGATCCAGTGACCTTTTTGGATTCTTGTTTTAGAGACTAGCATTTGTGACTCTGGAAGCTCAGAGTTCAAGTCGAGTCAGGTATGAGACAATACCTTACCTACCAGACTACATTGTGAGGGTGCCAGAAGACAGCCTGATCTTTCTCCTAGTGGGCAAGAGCAGAAGACAGTTTATATTAATCTGTCTGTGGTTGAAATCTAAACTGTGTTCCGTGAATGACTGACTACATTGTTCTTACCCTGGTTCTCAGAGTGTAGGGACAGGGTCTCTGGTGAATCACATGTCATAGTTGTAGACAGCAGTATTTCTTTTTTCCTTGTATTGTATTGTGCTGCATAACCTTCAGCAGGTTTATTTCTTTAACACAGCTACCTTGTGAAAACTTGGGGAGTATTCCTGTCTTAATCTAAGACATGGTATTTTATATAGTACATCTAGTTGTTTATAAAGTACTTGTTATACTTTTGGTTACATACCAAGTGTTTAGAAAATGTTGACTGTCTGCTGGGAAGGTGGCTCAGTGGTAGAGTGCTTGCCTTGCATTCATGAGGCCCTGGGTTCGATTCCTCAGTACCACATAAGCAGAAAAAACTGGAAGTGGTGCTATGGCTCAAGTGGTAGAGAACTAGCCCTGGGCTGAAGAGCTGAGGGACAGTGCCCAGGCCCAGAGTTCAGGCCCCACTACTGACCAAAAAAAAAGAAAGAAAGAAAATGTTGACTGTCATCATCTGAAGCTATCTAAATATGTGGCATTCTGTGTGTTTTGTCCTTGTGTATGTGTTCACACTCATGCACATGTACTGGTATGTGCTGAGGCTTGAATTTAGGCCTGGGTGCTATCCCTTAGCTTTATTGCTCAAGGCTGGTGCTTTGCCAATAAGCTCCACCTCCATGTCCAGCTTTTTTCTGATTAATTGAAGATAAGAATCTCATAGACTTTTCTGCCCTTTTCTGACTTTTCTGGCTTTGTATTTTTATTCTCAGCTTTTAGCCTCTTGCATAGCTCAGATTATAGTAATAAGCCCCTGGTGGTTTTTTGTTGTTGTTGTTTGGTTTGATTTTGTTGCTGTTGTTGCCAGTCCTGGGGCTTGAACTCAGGGGCAGGACACTGCCCCTGAGCTTCTTTTGCTCTAGGCTAGCACTCTACCACTTGAGCCCCAGTGCCACTTCCGGCTTTTTCTGTTTATGTGGTACTGAGGAATTGAACCCAGGGCTTCATGCATGCTAGGGAAGCATTCTACCACTAAGCCACATTCCCAGCCCATGTTTTGCTTTTTCCTTTCATGCCAATAAGTACTTGTAAGAGATTACAAGTACTGCCGGGGCACCGGTGGCTCACGCCTGTAATCCTAGCTACTCAAGAGGCTAAGATCTGAGAATCCCAGTTCAAAGCCAGCCCGGGCAGGAAAGTCCGTGAGACTCTTATCTCCAATAAACCACCAGAAAACCAGAAGTGGTGCTTTGGCTCAAGTGGTACAGCACTTGCCTTGAGTTGAAGAGTACAGGGACAGTGCCCAGGCCCAGAGTTCAAGCCCCATGACCGACCAAAAAAATAATAATAATAATAATAGTGTGGAAAGCAGGATTGATAGGGAATCACTAGACATGGTCTGATCTGGCCTCTAACAGTAATTTGCTAAGGCCTTAATGTGATTACCTGTAAAATGAAGAGATTGTAAGAGTCATCTCCTTAGATTTCTTTAAACTTTGGATAATATAATCCCATTCTTGTTCTTTTGTGTACTCTAGTGTGTTCTTGGAAGGTTAGTACATTTTGTGTAGAATTAGAAAAACAACTTTCTAGTCTTCTCAGCTTTTTTCCCATTCCTTACAGCTCACAGGGTGCCTAGAGTGACTTATACTGAAAATTAATCCTTCTAAGAATGCTGTTGAATGGGAGCTCCCAGCTCCCTGTTCTGAAACTTCTAGAGCCAAGTTGGGGGCCATAGGGTGGTAGGGACGTTTGGATCACTACAATTGGTTCTCTGGAGCCTGAACAGATAGCTACTGGCCTTTTCTCCGCCCCCAGTTGCTGATCTCTCCCCAGCTACTTAAAAGCCAGACCTTCAGCCTCCGTTCAGCTCCAGGCAGCTCTGCCCCAGAACAGGAATTCTCCAGGTAGGTATCTGCCTCCAGCAGGATGAGGCCTTTCTCTGTAGCTGTTTCGCTTTCCACCAGTTCTGTGACTGGTTTTCTTCTTTCCTGGAATATTAATTTTGCTTCTGTCATGTTTGAATCAGATCCATTATTAACTTTGATTTAGCAAAAAGAGGGACTGAGAGATGGCTAGCTTGCTAGTAGTATTGGGGAGAATGTTAAGGGGCACAGGGCAGGTGGTCTGCTGGTACCTACGATAGGGTTTGGGACTGCTCATTGGTGACCAGGGCTGAGAAGAAATGCTGTTAGGTACAGACACCGCGGTCATGGAGGTGGAGCTGAAGCTTGAGGGAAACTCTGCTATCACTAGTCTCTGTTCCCTGCTGGGCGGTGGCGCCAGGCTGAGCTCTGCTGGCTCTGTACATTGTAGTGACTGGGTCTGTGCCTGAAAATGGAAGGAAGTTGAGCTATAGTTGATTTTTCTTAGGCTAATCTGGTGGAGACCCAAGAATGTGCTTTGTGCTCTGCACAAAGGGTGCTGGCCAAGTTCTTTTCTTGTGTCTATCTCATTGTCCTTCCTCCCTTTTCTATGTCGCCTACTAAACTTATCTCAGAACTTCCAGGGCAGTCATTACCACACTAACTTGTCCGTCTGATAGGCCTGGTGTGTCTGGGGCTTGTAGGTGGGCAGCCATGAGGGGAGTTGTCTTGACTACTTGGTAACTCCTTGCAGCAAACCCTGGACCAGGCCACTGTGTGGAGGAGGAGGAGTTCTCTGAGACCCTGGCTACGAGCCAACTGAGAGCAATTGGCTGCACCTGCCCAACTGCGTAGCAGTCAGAGCCCAGGAGCAGCAACTGGCTGCGGAGTGCAGATGCAGCGAAGATGAACATAGAGGGGAGTGCCTCACCTTCTCCTCTTCCAACCTCCGACACAAGTGTGGTCACCTCCACCTTCTCTGTTGTAGACTATATAGTGTTCACCCTGCTGCTGCTGTTCTCCCTGGCCATTGGACTCTACCATGCTTGTCGTGGTTGGAGTCGCCATACTGTTGGCCAGCTACTGCTGGCAGACCGCAAAATGGGCTGCCTTCCTGTGGCACTGTCACTGCTGGCCACCTTCCAGTCAGCTGTGGCCATCCTGGGTGTGCCATCAGAGATTTACCGATTTGGGACCCAGTATTGGTTTCTGGGCTGCTCCTATTTCCTGGGGCTGCTAATCCCTGCTCACGTCTTCATCCCTGTCTTCTACCGCCTGCATCTTACCAGCGCTTATGAGGTGAGCAGGGACAGAGAGGAGGAGCATAAGGACTTCAGGGATGGTGGTAGAGACAGTTGGGACCTCCTGATCACTTCCATTTGGACAAAGTGACAAAGACTCCCTTGGGTTTGTTTGTTCTTTCTGTAGATCAGAGCCTGGTTAGAGGGGTTGGAGGAGTCAGGGGAGTGCCATGCCTAGAGAGGCCAGAGCAGATATTCACTGATTCATTCCCTCATGTTCCCAGGCCTCTTGAGGGAAGAGTATATCTTGTGTGGTGTGTGGGGGTGGCAAGTCAGAAGAAATACTGTACCTATTTTTTCTGTGTCTTTCTACCTAGTACCTGGAGCTAAGATTCAATAAAGCAGTGAGAGTTTGTGGAACTATAACCTTCATCTTTCAGATGGTAAGTGAAATATGATTGAAATGGAGCCTAGACTTAGTAGAGGGAGTAGAACTCAGGCACACTGAGGGGGCGGGGGCAGAGCCTTCCCTTCTCCCATTCCTACAAGGAGTTTGTCAACCTCCAATTGCAATCTGCCCATTTCATCCAATGTCTCCACAGATAGGCAGTGGTTGTAAGCCAGACTTGGTAGGAGGATGGAGGTGAACCTTGGTGAAGGGAAGTCTTTCCACCCACATCTTCTTTCTCCCTCACATTCTTTTCGACATCCAACAGGTTATCTACATGGGGGTTGTGCTCTATGCTCCATCGTTGGCCCTCAATGCAGGTGAGAAGTCAACCCCTGGCTTCTAGCCATGGTTAACTGGGAAAACACCTTTAGGAGAAGAAGAGAGAAGGCAGTGTGCCAAAAAGAATCTGACCTTGGGGAGAGAGTTAATTAATTTACTGCATGGGTCCTCCAATTGTTTTTTTTATTTTAAACCACTGTTAGAAAGCAGACTTAGGTCATCTCACCTTAAAAGTTGATTAAACATTACTACCATGCCACACCTGAATTTGTTAATCAACACCTTTCATTGGAGCTATGCAAACCTTTTTTTTTCCATTTTGGGAATGATTTATTTCACCTTTAATAACGAATTGCCTCATCTGTTGACATAGCTGCCCCCATCAGACCTTCTCTGGCTTCTCTCCTAGATAACCTTGGGTTAGCAGTAACCTTTGTCTACTTTCAGTGACTGGCTTTGATCTGTGGCTGTCTGTGCTGGCCCTAGGCATTGTCTGTACTGTCTACACTGCACTGGTAAGTACAATAGTTCCTAAGGGATAGAGAGAGATGGTAAGAGAAGAAAAAAGATGAGATAAAAGTATAAATAGTCCACGTGCTCATGCCTATAATCCTAGCTACTCAGGAGGCTGAAATCTGAGGATCTTGGTTCAAAGCCAGCCTGAGCAGGAAAAGTCCGTGAGACTCTTCTTCTCTCCACCCAGCCACCAGAAAACCAGAAGGGGCACTATGGGTCAAAGAGGTAGAGCATTAGTGTAGAGCAAAAAAACTCAGGGACAGCATCTAGGGCTTGAGTTCAAGCCCTATGACTGACCAAAAAAAAAAAGAAGGAAGAAGAAGAAAGAGTATAAACAAGAGGTAGGTGAACTTCTGGAGTGCGGTGGGGTAGAGTAGAATAAGGTGGGATGTAGGGCTGGATGATGATGAGGCCAATAGAGTCTAACCAGTTGTGGAGTATAGCTACCTTGCTAGAGGTGGATGATGTGGAAGACCTTTGTAGTGGGTATGTTGTCTTTTCCCTGCAGGGTGGGCTGAAAGCCGTCATCTGGACAGATGTGTTCCAGACACTGGTCATGTTCCTAGGGCAGCTGGTGGTTATCATCGTGGGGTCTGTCAAAGTGGGCGGCTTAGGACACGTGTGGGATGTGGCTTCCCAATATGGTCTCATCTCTGGGATTGAGTAAGTACACACCTTCCTCTCCTGGGGTCTGCCCTGGGGCTGAGGCCATCCTAGAGCCTGCTCTCAGGGCTATAGTAAGCATAGGGCAAGCTGGGAAGCCTCTAGTTCACATAGCCAATGGGAGAGGTGAGCAGAGATATTCAGCTGGTGTTTATGGAAGGCCAAGATGTGACCTACATGAGTACTTGAGACAAGCTTGGGATTGGAGAAAGGGAACCCTGTCTCTGGCTTACTGGAGTCTGTCTCTCTGTCTCTGTCTCTCTTACATTCCCTCCTCTCTCCTCCCCTCTTTCTTCTCTCCTCTCCTTTGGTGGTACTAAGGTATAAACTCACTGTGTCAAGCTTGCTGGTCAGTGTTCTACCTGAGCCATGATATGGTTCTACTCGAGCTATGCTGTGTCTTGAGACATTGCCTTCAGTCTTACCCTTGGCCAAGCAGTGGTATTTCTGCTCTCCACTGATTGCCCTTGCTGGGAGGGCAGGAAGACAACTTTCCCTTGTCTGCCTCTGTAGCAGAGGGGCTGAGTAGTTTCTATTGCAGGCTGGATCCTGACCCTTTTGTGAGGCATACTTTCTGGACGTTGGCTTTTGGAGGTGTTTTCATGATGCTCTCTTTATATGGAGTGAACCAGGCTCAGGTTCAGCGCTACCTCAGTTCCCGCACAGAGAAGGCTGCTATACTGTGAGTTTCAGGACAAGACACACCAAAAGGTTTCCTAGAGGCTGTAGGGTGGGACAGGATCCAGGGGGCAACATTCACTTTCACCCCCATTCTACCTTTCGGGGGTCAGGACTTGGGCCTCCTGGAGGCTTGAGGAGGCATGTCTGAGGTTGTCTTAATCCCGTCTCTCCCCTTGGGGCTGGCCTCTTTTGCAGTTCCTGCTATGCTGTGTTCCCTTGCCAGCAGATAGTCCTCTGCATGAGCTGCCTCATTGGTATGGTCATGTTCGCCTATTACAAGGAGTATGCCATGAGCATCCAACAGGCTCAGGCAGCCCCTGACCAGGTAAGAAGAACATATCCCTGGCTCCTTGAGATGCCAGTCTGGGCCCCTAAGCAAAGTGGCCAAATTGCTGCAAAAATGCCTTTACAACCCTCCCACTTAGGTCCCAACAGGCTGCCATGTTAGACCCAAGCCTCTGGCTTCGTGTACAGTGCTCTCCCACTTGGCAGGGGGGAGGAGGCAGCCCTGCCTTTACCCATTCCCCACCAAGCACCTCATGCTCTGTTGTCACATGCCTGGTCTCATCTGAGCCTCGTAACAGACTAACCAGGTCTGAAGAGGTAAACAGCATGCTTATGTCATGGTGATTGATGTCAGAGTCAGAGCTGGGTGGGCTTCTTTTTTTTCCCCAGAGCCTGTTTTCTTCTCATTGGCATATAACTTAAACAACAGATGCCTGTATGTCTGGTACCCCTTTTTATTGCACTCAGGCAATAAATAGAATGGCACCTGAGTATGGCATCCCACTGAGGAGAGCTTATACTCTGCTCTGCTTTACAGTTTGTTTTGTACTTCGTGATGGATCTCCTCAAAAGCCTGCCAGGTCTACCTGGGCTCTTCGTTGCTTGCCTCTTCAGTGGCTCCCTCAGGTACCCACTTCAACCAGTTCTCCCACCTAGGGTGCACCTACCCCTGCTCCTTACAGGGACAGGTTGGGGAGGGATTCACTCTGAGTTTCTCAGTCAGGATTGTTTAGGACATAGCACAGTCTCTTACAGGTTATGCCCCTGTTTTTAAGGTTCTTCTTCCATGGTACAAAGCATTCATCTACTTGTTCAAACCTGTACTTATAAGGAAAGGACAGTGTCCTTGCCTTCCTGACCTCTGGAGCTAGCCTAGGCTATAACTGTGCATCCAGGTGGTTTCTTGTCAGTATAGCACACTTCTAAACTTAAAACTACTGTTCCCGCTATAGAAGCCCTATTAGTTCTCACTTAGCTGCAAGGCTTAGCAGGTCATTCTCTCCTTCCCAGTACCATATCCTCAGCATTTAACTCACTGGCAACTGTTACAATGGAAGACCTGATCCAACCCTGGTTCCCAGAGTTCTGTGAAGCCCATGCCATCCTGCTTTCCCGGAGCCTTGGTAGGATTGTGCTTTCACAAGTCTTGTTCTTACTGAGATACACCCTGACCACTGTTATCAGTCTGCTGTCTTATTCCAGGCTCAGCTTGTGCCTGAAGAAGCACACAGCCTTCACCTCACTGATTATACTTTGGGCAGTGCCTGGGGAGGTTTTGAGCCAGAGCTATGAGAGGGGTGGAGGGACCTAGAAGTGGGGAATGAGATAATAGACCTCAGTAGTTTGGTGCCTTATACTTGTAATCCTAGTTGCTTGGGTGGTTGAGATTGGGAGGGTTGTAATTAGAGGCAGTGGGCAGTTAGTGAGACCCATCTTCAACCAAGAGCCAGGCTTAGTGGTGCACCTGTCATCATAGCTACTATAGGAAGCTGAAAATAGGCAGGTCATTCAGGCATTAGGTGAAACTGTATCTCAAAAATAACCAGCACATAGAAAGGCTAGAAGATACCAGATGTTGGTGGCTCACCCTGTAATCCTAGCTACTTAGGAGGCTGAGAACTGAGGAACTATATTCAGAGCCACTCCAGGCAGGAATGTCTATAAGATTCTTATCTAAAAAGCTAGAAGTGGAGTGATTGCTTAATTGGAAGAGCACCAGCCATGAGTGAAAAAGCTAAGGGACAGTGTCAGGCCTTGCGGTAAAGCCCTAGTACTATTACAAAAAGAAAACAAAAAGTGCTTGCAACATGACTCAGCAGAGTCCCTGCCTAGCAAGTGCAGTGCCCTGAGTTCAAACTCTAATAATGAAAGGAGAAAAGGTGGCTTGGTTGGGGAGGTTGCTTACATTTACCCTGTTTCTTGTGTTTACTCACATCTGATTGTTTCCTTTCTTCTGTTTGTCTCCAGCCTTTGGCTATGGGCTACTTTGCCTGGGAATGGCCTTTATTTCCTCCCAGATGGGACCTGTGCTACAGGTAAAGACCAAGGAGGAGGGCTGGGGAAGGTGGCTTAGTGGTAGAGCGCTTGCCTTCAATGCATGAGGCCCTGGGTTCGATTCCTTAGCACCACATAAGCAGGAAGAAAAAGCCAGAAGTGGCGCTGTGGCTCAGTGGTAGAGCCTTGAGCTGAAGAGCTGACGGACAGGGCCCAGGTCCAGAGTTCAGGCCCCACAACCGGACCCAAAAAAAAAAAAAACACCAAGTTGGAGAGAGGAGGAAGCAGTTCTTAAGGGAGCAAAGGAATTGATTCAGACAGGAAACTGAGGAATCCAGCTGCTTTGAGAGGAATGGCTTAAGGCAGCCCCGGGTCAGATTCCCCTCTGATTGGTCACCTTTAGCTGTGAACGGACTCACAAGTAGCTGAAAGCTGCTTGTAGGATGTTGTCAACTTAAGAGTCCTAGGAACCAGCCTTGGGAGAGCCTGGGTCACATACCTACAACCATTTCTGCATATTAGAATCCTTCTAGGTAGAAGAAGCAGATAACTAATGCAGAACCCTGAGGCTGGGGGCTCTTAGTCTGTGTTCTTTTCCTTTTTTCTGAACCCTGTCCTATACAGGCAGCAATCAGTATCTTTGGTATGGTCGGGGGGCCGCTGCTGGGACTCTTCTGCCTTGGGATGTTCTTTCCCTCTGCCAACCCACCTGTGAGTGACATCTCTGGCTTCAAAGTTGTGCCTGTGGGGACTGGGTTGGGAGGGCTGGTGTGAAGGGTTGGGAGGGGGTGGCCTGTGACAAGAGTTTGCCATGTCTCTGGGCAGGGTGCCATTGTGGGCCTGCTGGCTGGACTCATCATGGCCTTCTGGATCGGCATTGGGAACATAGTGACCAACATGGGCTCTGGTGTTCCACATCCTTCCTTTAATGCGTCCACCTTCTCCCTGTTCAGCAACCTGACCAACACCACTGTGACCACCCTGATGCCCTCTGCCACCCTCTCCAAGTGAGGCAGGCTTGCTGTCTTTCTCCTTGAGAACAATAACGGCACTTTTGAGGGGCCTGCGGGAAATGTTAGGTTGGGTCTTAGGACCCATGCAGGTGGGTGGAGCCGGGTGCCTGAAGAGTCACCTGCCAAAACATAGCTTTGTCCTCATCCTTCTGCTTCCTCCAGGCCCGTGGGACTGCAGCGGTTTTACTCCTTGTCCTATTTATGGTACAGCGCTCACAACTCCACCACAGTCATTGTGGTGGGCCTGATTATCAGTCTGCTCACTGGTGAGAGTGCAAGGTCACAGAATAGAGAAATGAGGGGGTGAGGGGGGGGTGGCACATCTAGGACATGGGCACAGGGGACCTCTGCTAGAAAGGGTAATAAGAGACTCACAAGTGCCTCTTTTCAGGAGGAATGCGGGGCCGGTACCTGGACCCCCGGACCATTTACCCTGTGCTGCCAAGACTCCTTGCCCTCCTACCATTGTCCTGTCAGAAGCGGCTTTGCTGTGGAAGCTGCGGCCAGGTGGGACCCATGTTTCTCCTGGAGATGCCATCAAGTGTCTGGGCTCCCCTCCATCGCCTCTCTTTCCTTCCCTTAGCACACCTCTGATCACCTGCCTAAGCCTGGAGTGTCCCCCATCACTGCCCCAGCCTCCACCCTCAGAGCCACCCTAATTCAGAGGGCAAAAGAATCTGGCCCGCAGCGTAGCTCACCTAAGCTGTTCCCACTATCCTCCCCATACCGCTTGCCCTGTGCTCCCCCATGTCCTCTTCCTGTCCCCCTGCCCCCTCTAGCGGAACCAAGCAGGGTCTCACCTTTTCTGCATGAGTCCCTTCACCTCCCTTTGCCCACATTCACCAGATCTACCACCTTTGCTCTGTGCTCTCCAGGATATCCCCATGGACACAAACCTGTTTCCAGAGAAGATGAAGAATGGGGTGCTGCAAAACAGCAGGATCAAGGAGGCGATGGCTGAGGATGGCTCAGCTCACCAGGGGTACAGCCCGACCTTCATTGTTCAGGAGACCTCACTGTGACCCGGACTCAGGCCCCTCAGCCTCTGTTCTTGCTGTCAGGCAGCAGCCAAAAGCTACCCTGTAGTGTGGGGATGGGTCAGGATGACCTAGCCCACACCAATGGACTTTGTTCCTAAAGATTCTCACCTGCCATGGAACCCGTTGCATTTTGGGGGTGGGAGAGTAGCACAGCGTTTTTTCTTTGTCTTGACAATCTTTTGCTCTTTGGACCAGAATTACAAACAGTGGGATTGAAGCTGGATGCTAGTGGCTCATGCCTATAATTCTAGCTACTCAGGTTGAGATCTGGAGGATCACTTGCTACCCTGGGCAGAGCAGTCTTTGATACTCCATTTCAAAAAATCAAAGCTGGAGGTGTGGCCTTATGGTAGAGTACCAGCTTTGGCACTGACACATATACACAAATAGGGTTGTATCAAAAATGAGGGTAGAAGTGAACCTCTGGGAAAAGGATAATGGGTTCTGTTAATATAGCCAGGGTCCTTTGGAGTGAATAGAAATATCACTTCCTGTATGCCCTAGGGCCCAATGAGGTAAGATTGACCAACTCTATCCTAGAGTTGAGAGGCTGCCTTGGCCAAATGTTTCTCATGGCATCCTGTCTCGGCACCAATTCTGTCTGCCAAAGTGGGCCCTGTGATTATTTTCAGGTTGTAACACTCAAGCCCCTCATTCTGTGTGTACCTCCATTCTTCAGAGGTTTTGGTATCCCTAGGCTCCTCAGCATACACAGATGTGGTCATCTATGTGTAAAATAGGCAGGTTTTCTGTGTCACTGACCCTACTCTTCACCACTGAGGTCAGCACTCTGGTGCAGAAGAAATGTGGATCCAAGGAACTGGTGCTGTTAGCAGATCCTCTGGAGTATACTGTCCTCTAAACGCCGCCAGGCCACCCTGGGGTCATTCTGTGATCCATACTCCTTTCTTTTTGGAGTTTCTCCCTCAAACATCTTTGTTCCTAGGGAATAAAAACAACACTTAGACCAAGAGTCTGGGCTCCTGTTCTGTGTCCAACTATCTATCCAGATCCAGTCCCTCTTAATGAGATTGGAGCCCCTCCTGTACAGAGGTATCTGCAAAAGAAGAAGCAGACTTAGGGTGCCGTGTCTGTAGGGTTCTGTGTTGGGCTTCAGGTGGAAGATGCGTTCTCCCATGGAGGCCACGTTTCCCTCACCATCACCAAAGCAACGTCTCAGATTTTCTCTTGTGAGAGGAAGAATGCTTCTTGACTTCACAAACAACATTCTGCCTAGACTGTTGATGGTTTTTAATTTTTTGGTGCTAGTCCTGGGGCTTTCATTCAGGGCCTTAGCTTTTTTTGCTTAAGGTTAATGTGCTACCACTTGAGCCACAACTCCTCTTTTGGCTTTATGGTGGTTAATCGGAGATAAGAGTCTCAAGGACTTTCCTGCCTGGGGCTGGCTTTGAACAGATCTCAGCCTTCTGAGTAGCTAGAACTGTAGGCATTAGTCACTGATTTGTTTTATTAGCAATACTAGGGTTTGAAGTTGGGGCCTCAAGTTTGCTAAGCAGATGATCTTATCACTTGAACCATGCCCAGCCTTGACTTTTTTTTTTTCAAGACAAGCTGGTCCAGGTGCTGGTGGCTTAATGCTTGTTATCCTAGCAACTCAAGTGGCTGAGATCTGGGGATCACAGTTAAGGCAGCCTGGGCAGAAAAGACTTCCAATTAAACACTCAAAATCTGGAACTGGTACAGTGGCTCAAGTGGTAGAGGACTAGCCTTGAGCACAAAGGGGCTCAGGAACTGGCTCAGGCCTGGTGTTTAAGCCCCACAATCAACAAAACACACTAGCCAGGCACTGGTAGCTTAGCTTGTAATCCTAGCTACTCAGAAAGCTGAGATCTGAGGATGGTGTTTGGAAGCCAGCACAGGTGGGAAAGTCCATGAGACATTTTTTTTTTTTTTTGGTCCAGTCATGGGGCCTGAACTCTGGACCTGGGCGCTGTCCCTCAGCTCTTTAGCTCAAGGCTAGCACTCTACCACTTGAGCCACAGCGCCACTAATGGCTTTTTTTCTTTTTTGTTATGTGGCGCTGAGGAATCGAACCCAGGGCCTCATGCATGCAAGGCAAGCGTTCTACCACTGAGCCACCTTCCCAGCTCCACCATGAGACATTTCTAATCACAGAAAAAGCTAGAAGTGATAATATAGCTCATGGTACAGTACTGGCCTTGGGCAAAAGGAGCTTAGGGACAATGCCTATGTCCAGAGTTCAAGGCCCAGGCCCAACAATAAAAAAAAAAAAGATACGATTTTCACCCTCTCACACCTGGTCTCTGCCCCTACCTGGGCTTCTCAGGCTGCCCAGTGCAGGGCTCAAGTGGTAGAACAGTAGCCTTAAGCACAAAGAGGCTCAGAGATAGCACTCAGGTCCTGAGTTAAAGCCCTATAATCAATGCCCTCCTCCCCCCCCCAAAAAAAGCTCTAGGGTTTCTCAGCTGTGTCTGGCAGGACCATACCTCTCCTGATGCCTTCCTCCATGGTCCCAAGTCACTGCTCCTCCACAACCTATAAACCTGCAGCTGAATACTCAGTATATCCCTGCCTGCCTCTATCCTGCTTCCTTTAAGAGTCAGGGTTGGGCTGGGAATGCAGCTTAGTGGTAGAGTGCTTGCCTAGGATGCATGAAGCCCTGGGTTCCATCCCTCAGTACCACAAAAACAAAAAGAGCTGGAAAGTGGAGCTATGGCTCAAGTGGAAAAGTGCTAGCCTTGAGCGAAAGAAGCTTAGGGATGGGGCTGGGAAGGTGGCTCAGTGGTAGAGTGCTTGCCTTGCATGCTCAGAACCACATAAGCAGAAAAAGCCGGAAGTGGAGCTGTGGCTCAAGTGGTAGAGTGCTAGCCTTAAACTGAAGAGGGACTGAGCCCAGGCCCCATGACAGACAGACAGACACACACACACACACACACATTTGGTGCCAGTCCTAGGACTTGTACTCGGGGACTGGGTGTCCCTAAGCTTTTTTTTTTTCTTCTTTTCTCGTGTGTGTGTGTGTGTGTGTGTGTGTGTGTGTGTGTGTGTGTGTGTGTGTATGCATGTGCTAGTTCTATGGCTCGAACTTGGCTTGGATGCTGTCCCATAGCTTTTTTTACTCAGGGCTGGTGCTCTACCACTTGAACCATAGGCTTTTGCTGGTTAATTGGAGATAAGTCTCAAGGACTTTCTTGTCCCCTCTGTCCTTGAACTGTGATTCTCAGATCTCAGCCTCCTGAGAGGCTAGGATTACAGGTGTGAGCCAGTGGGGTCCAGCAACAGTGACACTCCTGCTTTTATGGTGGTTAATTGGAGATAAGAGTCTCACAGACTCCTGCCTTGCTGGCTTTGACCCTTGATCCTCAGATTTGTCTTCTGAGTAGCTAGGCTTACAGGCATGAGCCACTGGTGCCCAGCTTGCCAGGTTCTTTTGAACTCAAACTTTGTTTCCTGGTTCCAGTGCACGGCCCTCTTACGGTAGGCAACATTCAGGATGATTGCAACCTAAAGTGAGACACAAAGTTCAAGCCAGAGTACATCATCTGGATTCTTTGGATCCAACCTCCTCATTTCTTGGTCAACCCAGGAGCTTCAGAAAAGTCAACAAAAGAGCATATGCCCAAGACCAGAACTTTGGCATAGAGAACATGTCAGGTTGGCAAAGATGTTCCTTCCCTTACAGCAAATTAAACTAAACATGCTTTAAAATGTGCCCTTTAGGAGCCGGGAAGGTGGCTCAGTGGTAGAATGCTTGTCTTATATGCATGAGCCCCTGGGTTCGATTCCTCAGCACCACATAAGCAGAAAAAGCCGGAAGTTGCCCTGTTCAAGTGGTAGAGCACTAGTCTTGAGCTAAAGAGCTCATGGCACGCAGGCCTAGAGTTCAGGCCCTATGACCAGCAAAAGAAAAGAAAAGAAAAAGTGCTATTTAATGGTTATGAAGATAGAGGGCACTAGATCTGGATTCAAATACTGCCTCATCCATTTAACCTTGAGGTTCGGCTTTTTTGTTGGTTGTGCTTGAACTCCAGGCCTGGGCATTGCCCCTGAGCACTTCTGATCAAGGCTAGCACTCTACCACTGAGCCACTGCTCTGAGTCCAGTTTTTGAGTAATTAATTGGAGATAAGAGTCTCATCCAGGCTGACTTTGAACTCTGATCCTCAAATCTCAGCCTCCTGAGTAGTAGCTAGGATTATGGGCATGAACCACAGTGCCTGGCATTTCAGCTGCTTTATCTGTTAAACATGAAATTCATATAGTTGTGTGTACACATGCATTATAATTGATAGTTAAAGAATGTAAGTAGGAAGTAGGAAAAAAATGAGGGAAGGGGTTACAAGTTAGACAAGAAATGTACTTATTACCTTGTGTAAATGTAACCCCTCTGTACATCACC